GGGGCCTTCACCGGTGGTTTTTGGTTCCGGCGAAGCAGAGAGGGCAGCAGGTCGGCGAACCCTCCTATGGTAAATAGCAGTTGTAGTTGTAGATGGCGTGATGTAGAATTTGCACCTGTAAATCCTCCCTTCCATATTGACCACAAATATCATTCCCATCTCTCTCTCTCTCTCTCTCTCTCTGACCACAACTACTTGGTGCACAACCTCAAAAACTCTGTTATTCTACCTGAAATTCATTGAAGTTTCAAGCTGAAAATGTGGAATCCGTCGCTCCCCAAAAATCGCATTGTCTGAGGTGTTGGAATGGCCGGTGTTGACTTCCTGGCTGCTGTAGCTTCATTCCCCAACCCGGATGATAGAATTCGGAGCACCAGCTTTGAGGTTCAAGGAGGTGGTAACACTGGCAATGCTTTAATTTGATAAAACCCGAATGATAAAATTCGTCTTGGTCTTAATCCAAGGATCATATCTAAGGTTGCTGATGACTCACATGGCGAAAGAATACTTGATGAGCTTGAAAGGGATGGTGTTGATACATCTTTTATGGTGGTGTCCAAAGGAGGAAACTCACCATTCACATATGTCATTGTTGACAACCAAAAAAAAAAAAAAAAAAAACTCGCACGTGCATTTTCTCTCCAAGATATCCACCCATGATATCTGAGGGTCTACATACCCAAATCAAAATTGTCTTCAGCGCTTGGAGTAAATATTGTCTACTTAGATGGAAGGCTGCATGAGACTGGTTTGATTGTAGTGCAGGAGGCAAAGAGTAGGGGCATACCTATTATAGTTGATGCAGAAAGGTTAGGGGAGGGGTTGGGTGATATTCCTGACTTTGCTAGTTATGTTGTATGCTCGACAAAATTTCCACAGGCATGGACTAACGCCCTTTCTATTCCAATTGCACTTGTTTCCATTATCTTGAGATTGATGTCAAATGTAAAATTCGTGATTGTTAGTTGGGTGAAGATGGTTTCTTAATGTTAGAAAGGACTGAAGCGGATAACCTCAGTTTGAAGAAATGGATGTAGCAGTGACCAATGGATGGTGAAATACAAGGATTAGAACATAAAAAGACAGAAAAACCCTGCTAATTCACGGTCAACAAACGGCGTCATTGACGGAGGATCAAAACTGTCCAACGATCAATAACAGTGGTTACTAAGTGGCAATTTTTATTATGGACGATGAAAAGTGTCAATGCCCCAATAAGTCTAGAACAAAAAATGGCATTAACTCTTGTATTCCGTGAGTCACAATAATAATATAACAATAATTAAATATTGTTCAATTCTATATTCTTCTATGATTTCTATTACCATCATTAATTATTTCCAAATTTACCATAATTAAATAATTTGACCAAGACTATGTGGTCTAATGGTACCCGGGTTGGACTTCCATTTGGAAGGTTATTACGAGTTCGAGCCTCAGTGGAGGCGTTATTGGTTCTTTGTGTTTCAGTAGGTTGAGAAAGTATATGAACAGATACTACAATGTAATAGGGCCAGTAACATTCAAAAAAAAAATAAATAATTTGACCAATTATAAAGAAAGATTATTAAATAATGCACGGGACAATTGACCAATTATAAAGAAAGATTATTAAATAATGCACGGGACAATTGTTTAATTAAAAATTTTAAAAATTCATTAATAAAACATAAGGTTCTCATAGTTTTTTCTTAGAAACTCTTTAATAAAGTATTTTTTTTAGAAATTGGTGGGCCAAACCGCCTACGACAGTTTGCGGTGGATAGATCTAGAAAAAATACGCAATTTCAAAAAAACATTTGTCCAAAACGAACAACGGAGTCAAAAGTTATGCATTGTCGAACTTTTGACACTTTACAAATTAAAAAATAAAATTTAAAAATTAAAGGCTGGTTCAGCCGGCGAGGCGGCCACTGAGGAGGCCGATTCCGGCCTTCCTCGCCGGCATTGTACGAATGGGAAAGTAGAAATTAATATATTTTATTAGGAAGAGAGATTTTTAGGAATTGGGCGGGAAGTTAAAATTACAGGATTTTGTTTTTATATATAGTATAGATTGTATTACACTATTTTATAATATTAGAATAGAATTTTAACGCAGAATTATTGTACGGATGGGAAAGTAGAAATTAATATATTTTATTAGGAAGGGAGATTTTTTAGGAATTGGGCAGGAAGTTAAAATTACAGGATTTTGTTTTTATATATAGTATAGATATAGATTGTATTACACTATTTTATAATATTAGAATAGAATTTTAACGCAGAATTATTGTACGAATGAGAAAGTAAAAATTAATATATTTTATTAGGAATAGAGATTTTTTAGGAATTGGGCGGAAAGTTAAAATTCCAGGATTTTGTTTTTATATATAGTACTAGTTTTTTACGCGCATTGCGCGATTGAGATAATGCCAAATGCTTTTTTTTTTAAAATAAGTACTTTAAAGTATATTAAGACAGGATTATATTGAAATTGTTCATGCATAGATAATTGAAGGTTGAATTTGCGTATTTAAATAGGTAATTCTTCTCCCAAAGGTTGAGTCCCCAACCCCAAGGGCCCCCACACTCCGACCCGACAGAGCATTGTGGGAAGTTGTAAATCACGGTGACTCAATGGTTCAGCAGACAGGGCGAAATGCTGATACGCACAAGGAATCTGCCCACTTTGAACATAATTCCCGCACTGCCGCCGCCGAGGTTCAAACCTTCGTCTCTTCTCCCAAATACTACCCACTAAACCATTGAGCTAAGCCCGTGTGGGTTAAATAGGTAATTCTAAGTTTACAAATGCAAGATAATATAGTCAAGATTGATTATAATTGTCAATAAAATAATTGTATATGTATCGTTGAAACCAAATACGGGACATAAGGGAGAACAAATAAAAATTATGACATAAAATATTAAATATATACTAATATTGTTTGAGGAGATTCCGACATTAGGATTTGTGGTTAAGTTCTATTAAGACTTTAATATTAGAATTAGATTAATGGTGTAGTTATAATTCTATATTAAACTTTAATATTAAAATTAGACTAACGGTGAATTAACGGAAAAGTTAAATGGATAATCATATAATTAAGGATAAATTAGAAAATCTTAAAAGAAAAAATTAAAACCTGAACAATATGAACCATTCATTTGATTTAATAATTTGACGGTCATTTTTTCTACCCAATGTTAATAATTAAATAAATTCGCTGGTCAAATCCGCTAGTATAATTCGCTAACTGCTGATTGTCAAACAAGGACATTATTGCGAGGTAGTTCTCACTTCAATTTGTTGTGTGATTTGAATACTCTCGTTGTCACAAAATCTCTCAAGTAGTTAATATGGTTGACTTTATTAATTATATTTTTTTAATTTTTTCATGGTATTAATAAAATACTTGGTAAATAAATATATAGCATTATTTTGCATTATAACTTTGATATTTAATTAGAAAAATAGTGCACAAAAAAAAATAATAGATAATGTAGTGAATATAATCAATTGATGAATTTGAATGTAAAAATTTTTACATTTGAGAAAAATAAGACAATATAACTAATGAAAATATTTCTTTTAATTAATTTATTGATAATTAATAATTTTTTTTTCACTGAATAAAGACATTGTAAGGATAATGTAGCGAATATAATCAATTAATAAATTTGAATATAAAGAATTTTTATATTGAAGAAAAATAAAGACAATATAACTAATAAAATTGTTTCTCTTATTTAATTGATTGATAATGAATAATTTTTTTTTTTAATAAAGGCATTGTGGACACATAATTCTAAATTAAAGAAATGCATATGTATTATTTTTTGTTGTAACTACTAAATTATTATTTATATAATTTAATAAGAGTAAAATAGAGTACTAATTATGCCAACTTTGATTGGGATGAGGTTCGAACCTAAGACCTTTTTTTTATTGAAATCAATGAGTAAGTTAACGGTGAACTAACGACAATTCTTAAAATTTTAACGGAATTAGTAACGGTGTGTGGATGTTTTAGGAAATTTTAGTGTAAAATTTAAATCTGATCAATCTTTTAATTAATCTGAGCCATTCATTTGATTAAAATCTGTGACCGCCATTTTTTCTACCCATTATAGGCCTAACTCTCTTGGGCTCTTATTAGTATATATATATATATATATATATATATATATATATATATATATATATATATATATATATATATATATAGTAGAAGTAGATAGTAGATATAGATTGTATTACACTATTTTATAATATTAGAATAGAATTTGAACGCAGAATTATTGTACGAATGGGAAAGTAGAAATTAATATATTTTATTAGGAAGAGAGATTTTTTAAGAAGTGGGCGGGAAATTAAAATTTCAGAATTTTGTTTTTATATATAGTATAGATTATTATTATTATTATTATTATTATTATTATTATTATTACATAATACTGTATTATTTTAAACTTCAACCGGTTTTAACATTTTTTTTTTTGTTGAAAATACCGGTTTTAACATTTTGAGTTCGATTATTTTCGTGGGTAAAACCCGGGCCGAATACGGAAAGAGTAATGCAGCAATTTGGAGGCACTTTCTCTGCATCTCTGTAACTGAATGCTTCATCATCATACCGTATCACGCCTGAAGACACTGCACATCGACGTCACGTAACACCTGGAGGACAAAGCTTATGAATTTCCTCCGGCGTCTCCTCTGCTGATCTGTCTTGCTTTCGCACTGACATCTTGAAATCGTAGAAACTTTTGCGACTCCTGTCTGTGAGTAATATTCACCTGGGTGAGGGGACTGAATGAGCAGGGGAATTGGAGTGGAAAGCAGAACCGATCGTTCTCGATCACTGTGAGTAGTGGGAGAGAATGAATGAAGCTCCGATCGCCTGAGAAGGAGAGCTATCTGCTCAGAAAGCCATGTGGTCCTCCTTCTGGAGATCCAGAAATCGTTTCTCTTTGGACGAACTCAGGTACTCTTCAATTTCAATTGTAGTTTCCTTGTTTACCTCTCTGTGATTTTCGAAACTCTGATTCTTGATACTATCTGTAGCAATTCGATACGAATTTTGTGGGTTGAATTATAATGATGAAGTTATCGACCTTCAGGGAAAATTAAGGTTGTGATGGCACAATGGTTGAACTGGGTTTATACTAGAGGAGTCTAGTTTCCACGTAATTAGTTTCTCATTTAGTAGTCTTCCAAAATTCATTTGTTAGTAGGAACGGGAATGGAAGGGAAGGGCCAGTTAGATCATCCCCCGTCAAACCTTTTTTTTTTTTTCCTGCTCCTTGGTTTGAATTTTTTGAACTTGCATATGTACACTGTATATTTGGGAAACAGATACAGGTGGTGAAGGTTGTTTGCATTTCCCAGACCGAATTACATGGTGATAAATAAACCCTTTTGCTGTGAGTTCTCACCCCACTGGGTTTTATTATTTTTAAAATTCAATTGACTACTTGCCTCAGTGGCCATCCTTATTTGTTACATAAAATCCATGCTGTACTCTTCTTCTTGCTTGATGAAATTTCAATCTACAAATAAAAGTATTGCTTATCTCTTCTTGATCATCCTACAATTAAGTTTTCTGATCTTTAGCAGTTTTCTGGCTTCATCATCATTATGGTGAAGAGATATATTGCAGGGGAGTTTGGCTTATCTTACTTGTATGGATAGTTGCCAAGTTATGGTTTGATCAAATTGTTAAGATTTGTGTATATGATTCACTTAACAATTCATTTAGTCTAAAACAAAATAAGAGCAAAGAAAGTGGCATGGAATATTTACAAACAAATTTAGAACATTCATCATTTGTTACTGTGATAATGGTGAGAGCTAGTTTCCAAATATTACATATCTGAACAAGATAACCTATTCATAAAAAGGCAACAAGGTGATACATGCAAAGGATCTATAGAAGGTCAACATCTGATGGAACCTAGGAATTTAGATCCTCCTTTTCACCAATACTGGTGTCTTCTCTATACAAACAAAAAGTTTCTTCATTCTCAAAATAATGAAGATATTTTCAAGTGCACAAACAAGGATAACAATCTTGAAATATGCTGTTTGATCCTCACGCTAACAGGAAAGATGAAGAACCATATGCAAGGGTACATTTTGTTACACTTACAATCTTGCTGGGTCAGTGTTGGCCTACTTATATACCGAGCACAGAAAATGAAACCTTAAACAGCAAGGTGAAATCCAATCTACAAATAATTTGATTTATTGACAGCATTGTTTTGGTAAAATAGATTTGAGTTGGAATCAAGGTGTCTCTGGATGAGTCTATGCAAATTTTCCTGAGCTATGAGATGTTCTTTATATCTACAGTTAGGCAAAATTAATTTATTATATTTGCTGAATGTTAACTGACCAATCAATGTGTTTTACAAACTTTTTTACTGTCTGGACTCTAGATCTCATGCAATGTTTTCCTTCTCATATGCAGATATCTTACTGATCAATTGATGAAAGTTCAAGTTGTTAATGAAGTCAATAAGGTGGCTACCTTTTTTTCTTTCATTTTATTCCATTTCTTATGCTTCTATGTCTAACATTTGATATGCCACTTATGCATTGGGTAGTATTCTTATTTAACCATCCAATCTGTTCTTTGCGTTTTGCTTTTTGAAGGATTTTGTAATTGAGGCACTACGATCAATTGCTGAGTTGATAACATATGGTGATCAACATGATGGAGCTTTTTTTGAGTGCGAGCTTAATACTTTCTTCTGAGTTCTGATTCATTTATTCACTTAAGTATAACATAGAAGCTTGGCAGTTCTGCATTGATATGTTTTTGGGGTTTCTTTTTTAGGTTTTTCATGGAGAAGCAGGTCATGGGGGAGTTTGTACGGATTTTAAAAATTAGTAGAACTGTTATTGTTTCACTACAGTTGCTGCAGACAATGAGTATTATGATCCAAAACTTAAGAAGAGAACAGTCTATATGTGAGTAACTTTTTCACACCCTTCTTCATAAAGCATACCCCTTCCTTAGAGAGCATATCTTTTTTTCCTCTTTGTTTTCATCTGATGTCAATTATTTTTTATTATCACAGATTATATATTTTGTAATGAACACATTAACTACCTCATAACTTACTCCTTTGACTTTCGCAATGAAGAGCTTTTGTCTTACTACATATCCTTTCTAAGGTTTGTTACCCGATAACTCAATTGTTTAATGCATTATTGTTTTTCAAAATACTGGATTATACTATTATGTGAATTGTCTTCTTTCTACAATTCTATGTAATAACACTTTTTTACTTATGCAATTCTTATTCATTTGTCAATTGTCAAGAGCAATAAGTGGAAAGTTGAACAAGAACACTATTTCTCTTCTTGTCAAGACGCAAAGTGTAAGTTACTAGCTTTCAACTTCTTACATAAATATCTATATAGGGCCTATAGATTTATAGCCATTATGTTTTTTTTTTTTTTTTTTTTAAAACCTTTTATCTGAAGAAATTGATCACTTTGTACTCCATGGTAAGCTTTTATGCTAGAAAAGTGGCACTTTTAGATCAAGGGATAGTTCTTCATGTGGGAGAACTGGATAGTTGTTTTTCAAAATATAGTGAAGTACCTTTTGTTCTCTTGATTTTATGTCAGCCTTTTGGTGCTTAAACCAAGGAATTCAGTAAGATCTAAACTTTGAAGGAGATTTTCTTAGAAATGTTTCTTGGTTTCTTTTTTCTTTACAGAATGTGTTAGTTCTATAATTTACGAATTTATAAGATAGTTAAAAGTATGAAATTTGGTTATGATAATATGATATTTATAAGATAGAGTAGAATACTCTCCCAAACTATGTTTATACTCAAAATGTGCTGTGAATTTCTGAATGTGCATGAGGAATTTGTGTAGATTCTTAGGTAATGCTCAAATATACTCCCTCAAAAAGTTAGGAAGGGAAAACAAGTAGATGGGGCCAACTGTTAAAAATATGGCATGGTTAATTGTGCATGGTAAGCTTTCTGATTGCTTGGACTTTATAAGCTAATGCAAATGTACTATATATTACTTGTATTCAAAAAGCACATGTACTATTTCCGAAAGAACCTCATGTTTTTTAGCATGCATATGCAGTAGATACATGTGGGTGCATGCAAATTATTATTACTTCTCAAATTGATCTGCAGCTCTGCTTTCTCACCCACTTCCCCTCAGTGATTTAGGATAGACTGACTGTTGCAATTAAGGCTGATTTTCAAATTGCTTCAAAGGGTAATAAATTGTCCACTTCTGGGGTGCAAGAGTCTGGTACTGATTTCAGGGCTATGAACAGTTAGTTGTGATTAGTATGGAGTAAAATTATGAAGGAAAAGAGATTAAGTTTTAGAGTCGCTCATATAGTCTTCATATGATTTCATGACCACCAACTCCTGAATAGACTGGCACCACACAACTCTAGAGAAAATAACACTAGAAATCTGTTCAACTGACTATGAACACTGTGGAACATTGGAATAAGAGAGCTACAAGGTAAATCTTTTTGTAACCCACAAATTATTCCAAAAGCTATTTAGAAACTCAAATCCATGTCTCCATAGACTAAAATTACTAAAACACTACTCAAACTCAGAGTAAACTAGTATTGTCCCACAACCAATATTTTCTGCTATGTTCAGGAGTTCTGAAGCATTACCAAAGTGTCTTGAAACTGAAGATTCCAATAAACTTGAATTTATAATGAAAGACTGAAAAGAGTTAAGCCCTAGAATTAGGTCTCCCAAGTCCTACACCTTTTATGATAATCACAATTGTATTGCAAAATCATCAACCTCACACATGCCAAGCTTCTGTAGGCAGAGGAACCAAGTCTCTTTGCTTTCCAAGCAATAAACCATCTTGAACTTGTGCACCTATTTACTGAACCATTTGAAGCACATTTAACTGCAAGAATAATGTGGTCACAATTTTCAGTTTTTCTCCTACTAGACACCTAAGAAGGCATCCTAGACTTCCATTCTTTTCCCTGGTTTGTCCTTAGTTTAAGGATAAATGAGCATAAATGATGTGGATCCACAGACTTACTGTGAAAACTCTTGTTACAAGTTGAGATATCCCCAAGAAACTTCTAAAATCAACATTTGAAGGATTCTGAATCCACATAAGACCTGCCACGAGAACTAGGGGGGACAAAAGTTCACGAAACAAGGAATTTCCCTTGAAAACGGAAAGTTTTACAGTGTTTAGAAAAACCTAGATGTCTATGGTTTGTCTCTCAAAATTCTTATGTGAAACTGAATAACTTGTCTGCAAGCGTATGCAACTAAATGAAGAAATACAAGACATTGAAATTGCACTTTTGGTCCCTTAATTATTTTTGGGTGTTGAAATGTGGTTCCTTTTAATTATAAGGTGAACACATTTAGTCCCTTAATTATCTTCTCAGTTGTAGATATGGTCCTTCCACTTGTGAAGCAAATAAATCTTTGTTTAAACCAACTTTAAGGAGTGATGTTTTGGTAATTCTGCATAACACTCTTTCTTCATTTATTATCGTTTGGCTAACAATAGAGCAACAAAATTTCTTGCCTTCTAGTTGAAACTGAGATTTATTTGTGGATATTGTGTTATAAGTGGAATGACTATATCTACAACCGACTATACTACAACTGATGAGATAATTAAGGGACCAAATGTGTTCACTTTTTAATTAAGGGACCTTATTTACAACTGATAGATAATTAGGGGATCAAATTTGTTTATTTTATAATTAAGGGACCACATCTCAACAAGCACAATAATTAAGGGATCAAAAGTGTAATTTTCTTTAAAATAATTGCAAATAAGTCCTTAAAAAGTAAAAATATTGCCCAAACAATTATGTATTTTTTTCTTACCTGAGCTCAATGCCTGGATATGCATCAATAGAGACTTAAGGTTCATATTCAGCAACTTCAAATCTTGCAAAATTAAGTAATTAACTGATGCACTTTAGATCATGATCTGAATCTATTGCCTTTGGCAATCAAGAAATTTATCTTCTCTGAAGAAAAGTTTTATCAATATGGACAACATTGCTTTCAATGTCATTGACTCACTGGGAAATAGTTGAAATAGTATTTGGTTATTTGATCAGTGAGAAAGAAGTATTGGTGAATGATATTTTATTTCTTGTCTCTTGTGTTTTAGTTCTAATAGTGAGATGTTTAGTTATTTTTCTCTATTTTATTGTACTTGCTATTTATCCTTTGGTTTTTCTTCTATGTTCTCTCAGGATGAAGTAATTTCATTTCCGCTTTATGTTGAGGCAATACGGTTTGCATTTCATGAAGAAGGGATGATTCGAACTGCAGTCCGTGCTTTAACACTGAATGTTTATCATGGTGACTTGCCTTCTGTTATTACTCTTTCTTTCTTAACATAAGCTGATTACTCAATGTAATTACCCTTTTTCTTTCACAAACTACAACCTTGTACTTTATTCACAGTT